ATAATAATTCCTAATGTTTAGAGAACAATTCTTCCAAAACTGCAAGCAGAGATATGACACTAAGATGTCGCCAACAGATCTTGTTACCAAAAGCAAAACCAATGAAACAACATCTGTCTCTTCTAGAGCATTCAATTCCCAATTCAATTCCATTTACTCCATCCTTAGAGTGGCGGACCCGCAGGGCACTTTTCATCTAATAGTGTTTCTATGGAAACGCCATTCTCAACCTGGAAGATTCTACAACCTCTCACTTTGGCTTTATCCACATTGAGAGGGAAGCCTTATAAATCAGAAATCAAGACACAATTTTGCCACAGACCAAAAAAAAAAAAAAAAAAAAAAAGTTTTTCCAGGCTAGAAGTTCACAAAAAGAAACAAATAGAACCAAAAGTAAAATATGTATATTTGACATAGAAACAAAGTGTCTCTATGAAGTACCAATGGGATCCCAAGGATCAGGGAAAGGAATCCAAGAGAATGTGAATGAAAATCAATTCACCTTCAGGGTCACCTTGCCTACTAGTCAAGGCCAGATATGTCACCCCCTGTATGGTTGCTTCATCTGAACCCTCCGGTGCATTATTTTAACAGTTTGCATTCTCCCTAACTTTCAAGATTCCTGGGACACAGAGCAAGCTCCATGCAAGAAAATATGTCACTGCATATTTTAAATAAGAACCATATTAACCTCTTTTCTATTTAGATTATATTTAAATCTGCAATATGTTAGGGTAGGAAAACAAAACAAAACAAAAAATGCTTGATTTTTACCTTAACATTGTATTTATTTATTCCTTCTCCTCATTTCCACGAGGCCCATAGGCATATCTTTGTAACACTACTAGCGAAATAACTGGCAATATACAAAACACATTGAGTTGAAACATTATGACATAGTAGGTTATAGTTGTAGTTGGAATAATGCTTTTAAGAAGGAAAAAGAAACTTTGATGCAGCATCTGTCCCTGAACTGTCACTCTACAGTGACTCATACTCAAATATTAAGTATTTTCTAATTGTTGGCAGTAATTTGTTTTCAGGCAAATGCAAGCATTTCTATTAATAAACGCTTTTGTTTTCTCTCGAATTCTCTCTTATTATCTAAATAACGTCAGTCATTCTTTTCTTTTTCAGGCAATAGTTTCCTTCAAGAGACCTTTTGTTATCAAAACAGGCAAATGTTCAACTTAAGACTAAGGTGGAAATTTACATCACTGAAATTTCCTTTTACTCATAAACACCAAAGTTTAAAATCTGTTTTCTTTTTCTTTGATGATTTTCATCATTTACAAGTATTTCCAGTTTAGCTTGCTCGAGACCTTGAGTCCAAGAATGAAGCTTCAGTTCTCTCTTTGGAGTAATAAAATGTGCTACTGATTAAATCTACCTGTGGACAACTAGAGACCAGCACATTTTTCTTATGCATCTCGGGTGCAAATCCAGAAAGGTTTTGTTGTTGTTGTTTTAATTCAGGCTTTTTTTTTGCCTCCGCTAACACACAAATGCTTCAAAGCCCTTTCAGAGGCATGTTGTTGCTGTAGTTAGTTGTTACTGTTAACTGAATAAGCCCAATTGATCCATTTATTTGAAAAAGAAAAAAAAAGTAGCAATTTGCTTTCAAAAAGGTGTGGTGGGGGGGCACCTGAGTGGCTCAGTCAGTTACGCCTCCAACTTTGGCTCAGGTCATGATCTCATGGTTCTTGGGTTCGAGCCCCGCATCAGGCTCTGTGCTGAATGCTTGCTCAGGGCCTGGAGCCTGTTTCAGATTCTGTGTCTCCTCTCTCTGCCCCTCCTCAGTTCATGCTCTGTCTCACTCTGTCTCTCAGAAATAAAATTTAAAAAATGCAAAGAGGTGTGTGAGGTTTTATAATATGCCCTTTGGCATTGAAAAGATTAGTTTGTACAATTTGCTAATAAATTGTTAATGCTATTGTTTTAGTTAGCCAGAGTTTCAATTGCTTTTATATCTTGTAAGATTTCAGATGGATTTTCTAGATAAGTTGCATTAATCATATAGCAAGAGTGTGATCATTTAGGGGCACCTGGGTGGCTCAGTTGCTTAAGCTTCTGACTTGAGTGCATGATCTCGTGGTTCCTGAGTTCCAGCCCTGCATTGGGCTCTGTGCTGACAGCTCAGAGCCTGGAGCCTGTCTTCAGATTCTGTGTCTCCCCCCTCTCTCTGCCCCTCCCCTGTTCGGGCTCTGTCTCTCTCAAAAATAAATAAACATTACAAAAAAATATATCTTAAAAGAATGTGATCATTTAAAATTTGTCCTGTCTGCCAAATGAATTTGTGTGCATCCCTGAAGCACTTTGAAGAACTTGAAATAAAGTTGTTAGAAGACTAGTATGTAGATGTTACTGGTTACTTACATTTGGACAAATAACAAAACTCTTTAGAGGTTTTCCCATAGAATTTATTATTATTAGCTCCTGACTATAAGCATTACCTAAGCAGTCTGGATTCCTTCAAGAAGTATAACAAGACACAGAGAAGGGTGTTCTGGTAACTGGAGATCTATCTGCTCTTGCAATTAGAGAAGAGGGGAGGGAATCTTTTTCATTGGAAGAAGGAAAAAGGGAGAAAATTTGAATATATCTCCTTTGCTTTTTACATGATATTATAAGACATTTGCTTTTTATAGATGGTTACCACTATCCATATTTTTGTGAGAGCACATGGCAGTGGAGTGGGGGAAGCGGGTAGGAATGTCCAATGGAAACCACAAGGCAACTTCTGTGAGTATTCATAGAAAGCTAGGAGACATAGACAAATGGGTTTCCCCTTCCAGGGTAGTGGTGGTGCAGGCCAGCACAGACCCCAAAACTGAAGGAAATTAGCCAGACCTCAAGAAATCAGGCGCTTTATGAATAATTTCTATTCCCATCGCCCAAATAACATATGGACCACAAAAACACTGCAATGCAGGTAAAACCTTGCTGGCTGTTAAGGAGTGTTTTGTTTTGTTTTGTTTTAAGAAGATAACATAGCTCTCTGCAAGGTTCTTCACAAGGGTATGACCTAGAGAACCAGGAAATCTGGTGGATGAATAAAAGAATTTGCTCCTCTCCCTCCTGATTCTGTCTGAACCAATATTTGATTATATTTTATTCAAGGGCACTTCAGCTTCAAGTAAAGCCAAAGCTCCTTTGCAGACTGAAATGGTGGCTGATGAAATCCATTCATTTTTTTTTTTTTTCCTGTTAGTATAGGAAATAGACTTTGGTTGTAACTCAAGGTCCACCTGGTTTTGTCCCCTCCTCCCCTCATCCTCCAGATCGGGTTAGCTGGTCAGCTCCAGTGATGACATATCCGTGGGGCTGCATCAACACATTTGACCAACTGGCACTTCGTATCTCCTGCTATTTATTCTTCATGCTATGCCCCCTATGCCCTCCAGACCCTCACCTTCCCCCCACCTTTCAATAGTGGTCGATAACCCTCTGTAGGAAACTTGCACAAGGCAGACAGATTACAAACTACGCACACATATGTAACAAGTGTCAGCTAAGTGCAGGACCTCGAATTGAATTTTAGGTAAACCTAATCTGATGTTAAAATCAACTCCACAACCTAAATCTTCAACTAACTACCAGCATTAACCAACCTCCAAAGCAGATTCCAAAACCCGCAGTGTAGTCTAGTTGCTATTTGGAATCACAATGGTTAGAAGAGAGGGAGGAAACTTTTTTTTTTTTTAGTTACTCCTGCTGCTCTGTTTTTATTTTATTCACAGACACTGGAAATTCTGGATTAATTTATACCCTGGAGTGTTATTGGAGGCATAGCCTCTATCCAGAGGAGAAACCAGCATGGCCTTCGTCAGCCTCCATTTGTCTCCCTGTAACGGTACAAATCACCGAGGAACATGGCCCTGGAAGTGGGCAAGGGTGTGAGGGTCAACAGACCTGGATAATTTGTGACAACGCAGAATTAACTTTAATAGTTAAGAAAAATAAATGACTTCAAGGAAAGTCAACTATGCTAAAAAAAGAGTAACACAAAAAGTTTGCTCCTGACATTTAAAAAAAAAAACCAACATTGATTCATCTTAGGCTACACTGGGCTATGACCTGTTTAAATTCAGCCTTTGTCCCTAATATTGAAAGTCTCCTTCACTAACAATTTTGCTGATTTCTAAAATATTATTTTATCCATAAATTTTCATTTTGTCTTCTTCCTTAGATGTCATTAAATCAGTACGCACTTACAAAAATATCCCCCAAAATATTATGATTATAAATATTTTGAACATGAAATTCATTCAGAACAATAACCAAACAAAACAAATCCCTTGGTGGCATAAAGCCCCAAATCTCCAGTTTCTCACATCTCCAGGAGAATTCCTGCAGTGAAAACAGCAATACTCACACAGACAATATAAACTGTTACTCTGCTTGAAAAGTCACAGGGGACTACACAGGAAGAGCGGACTCTATATTGCTGTTTTCCTTTACAGTTCTAAGTACAGCGGCCACTTTCACTGTGCAGCCCTGACTCAGATGAATGTTTTGTAATGGCAACCAAGTGCACTCGAGCCACTTAAAAGCAAATTAGGTGAGCATCTTGCCATTGCAACAAGATTTAAACTTTTTGGACCATTCGCTATAAAGGTACACTATAGCATTAGAAGAAATTAAGTCCTTCCCTTTGTGGTTTGTCTTAACTTTCTTCTTAGTAGGACTGGGTTCTCATACCTAAGAGTCACACTGAGAAAAGCAACATCATTAACATACACACTTAAAATCACAAGTCACATGAACTCCTAAACCTTGTAAACTTACAGTTAACAAAATTGCAATAGTGAGCTTCAAATAAAACTCCTCATTTGGGGTATCTAGGAAATAAGTGCTAGCACTTTTGTAAAAACTAGGGGAACACAGTGGTTTATGAAATATTCCAAGTGCAGAGGGATCATTTCCCCCCCATTTTTTTTCTATCACAACTGGTTCATTGTCCATATTTAGTTTACATATGTCATTTAGAATCCACTTACTGTTAGATGCTGGAACAGCCACGCCCTCATGATATTTGTGGCTACTTTGGGAAAGATGCCACGCTTTTTGTGACGCTTTTTGTCCTTATCTGGATCATCATCGTCACCTGTGCTGGGGGAAGCTACACTGTTGTCCAAGCCATCACCTGCAAATATAGTGAATCAAATTTTGACTGATGCTACCTTGACATGCTTTATTCAAATAGAATGCCTTTGGATATAAACAAAATCAAAAGAGCAATATAAATGATTAATAGTTTATTTGGTACTTTTTTTTTTTTCCAAAACAGAAAGAACAAGGCCTAGACTCAAAAGTAGTCAGGTCTAAGGAACTTCTTCCAAAGAACAGTGGGAAAGGTCAAAGGGAATGAAGGGAAATAGCCAATCTCTTTAGTAGCTTTGTTGCCATGGTAATTATTCAGATGTGTAGAGCTGAGACATTCTAAGTGTAACTCCTACTGGGGAGTTACATATGGTGGCCCCCATTGGCAGGGGTGCTGTCTCTGCCCGGGTATTCAAACCTCACATAGTCGTTGATGTCGTCAACTTGTGAGCAGATGCATTCAAGATATCAACTATTTCCACAAGTGATCTATCTTAAGACTAAAGTAGGCCATGGAAATGTAGGTAATCCATCATCTAAGCAGTTTGACATAGGAATGCTTCAAATAGAATGTAATTTTTCTTGTCATAAAAAGAGAGCATCAAGTTTAGGAAGGGCAAAACTCCTAAAATAGTTTTTTAATTAGGAAACGATTACTATGTAAGTCAAACGAAGTGATAATTAAGAGTCAATAGGAATTTTATTATCCTAAAAATCCAGGAAGTTTCTAAAATTTCTTCTAGATTAAAAATTTTCTCATTGCAAAATCATCTGTTGACAAATTATCTGTTTCCTGAATACTGGATCCTATTTTTTCCATTGTTTTTTGCTATAATATTTATGTTGTTTCTTCTAGAAAATATTCTGGTTCTGTGACACAAAAAAATTAAAGACGTAGGATTCCTTTTATGATGTCATGTTTAACAAGACAAAAAAATGAAATTTCAGCCCATGTAATCACTCTGTCCAAAACAAGTCATAAGGTACAAGTGGACACTAAGTACCTTGTGTTTGGGCACAAAAGTTTGAAGGGAAAACAAGAGTGGACTGAACTCACTACAGTAAAAAGGAGCTTAGCTTCTGTCAAATGTGCCTTCCTCCCTGCTGACCTCACTCTTGAGGGAAGCTACTGACTTTCAGAAAGGGATAGGTTGGTCTGGCCCAGGAAGGACCGCTACAGCAGCGAGGCTCTGCAATGAGGCAAGACACGCACCTGAGAGCACGTTCCCTGGGATATGGAAGTCACTGGAGAGCAGTCTACAGGCCCAAACAATGGGATCCTTTGGCAAGGCAATTTTCCTGGTCACTGTACATGGGAACTAGCCTAAGATTCCGTTACATCACTCTGTGAATTTCTTACTTCGTATTCCTTATTTCTGTGACCTAAATATACTACATACGCAAAGAATTCTCTGCTTTGATTCCGTTATTTCAGCCCAATCTATAGTAGTTATATTGCCATTAATCAATTGTTCTTAACAGCTCCTGAGGGAGATGCCCCCATCCCCCGCCCCCACCAAAGAAAATTGCCCCCAAACTGCCTTAACTTGTACTGAGGTGTAAAGTTTAAAAACTCTTGTTGGGTGAGGAACAGACTAATTTCAACATTTCTGCTATGATTACAGCATGTGCCACAAATACAAAGCTTGCAGAACTTTTCAGAGTGGGATTTTTATTAATTTAAAAAAGCACACTTTTATTATATTTAAAATCCATATATTTTGTTAAAGCTCCACAGAATCAGAGCTGTGTTTTCAGTGGAAAAGATCATAAAGACCCGTAGTTCCAAAACCCTCACCTTACCAGTGAGGAAAGTGCTTGTGTTCCTGGTGGGTGACTTACCCAAGGCCATGCAGCAGGGATGGGGCTGGCCAGCCTGTGCCCGACCAGACACCCGCATCCCTAAATCAGTGCCCCTTCCACCCCACCGAAGTCATTATTTGCATAGCCAAGTGTTTTATAAGGAGTCCCCTTGGATTTACCGAATAAATTCCTTGAAAGTCCAGTATTTAAAGAGGCTTTTTATTCAGAGAAGCAATTCACCATATAAAATAACAATTCATTAAAGAAACATGAGAAAAGAAACCAACTCAACAGCATTTAAAATTTCAATGGGCTAATCCACTCTCAATATGCAAAAGGTAACCGAGGAAAAGAAACATGTTACTTGATCATTGATTAAAAATGAAAAGCTTCTAACCTAATGACAGTTTTTTACCACCTCTCCATGATTGTTTTCCACCTTAAAAAAAATAGCCTTTCTATCCGTCTCAAAACCCCTTCAGATTAATTTAGCAGGCAATGCCTAGTGCCTGCCTCGAAGAGAATTCATTGATAATTTATGGAAATATCTACTATAATCCAGCGGAGATGACTTTTTTCCAGCTTTGTGCATCAATAGATAATCAAGGCCTTAAAGCAGCCTTAGCTTCCCATTACCTCAGGCAAAAGAATTCCTGAAAGCGTGCCTTGAGGGCACCTGAATTATATACTCCATTAGGAGAGGAAGGCTTTCTGCATTCCATGTGTAACACTCACCAGAACCTTTCCTGTTTATTTCTGCTGTATGAAAGCAGAAGCATTAGGAACAGAATTTTTTAAGTGAAGACTTATGTAGATACAATGGAGAAACCTTTCAAGCAGGAGCCAGATCACCCCCTTCAGTCCCTGGCAGTGACCTCTCCCGAATAAAAGGTTTCTATTACATCATTAGCTCAAGCCAAAAACAGCCTTGGCTTAATGCACAGTTTGTTCTTCCTACTGTTTTTAGGCAAATACAGCTACTTTACTCCCATCTGGGAGGGAAATTACACTGCTGGGTTGTAATCTAAGACAAGATTTTCATTGGAAGCAAATGCTTTCAATCCAGTGTAAATACTGGTGCATGTTCAGAAAAGCCTAAAACAATAAACCCTGCTCCTTCCTGACACAAGTTAGGGAAATGGAGAAGATGGGGAAGGAGAAGAGCATAATAAAACAGACTATTCTAAAAGCAAACACTTTCATAGATTTTAATAAATTGTTTAACCTCTTCCACTTTCTAGAATTGAAAATTGATCTCGAAATGTCTCAACCTCAGAGGAAAGTCTAAATGGTCAATTGTACCTTTAGCATTTCCACTCACTCTGCAATTTGATACAGTCACCTCTATGCGGTCTCTGGAGGATTTATTTCCTTTTTTTATTTTTAAGATCACTAAACAAACTTGGAGAACCGCCGGCCGACCACATGGCAGCAGGCAGCGGCTCTGAACCACATTTGTAAAATGTCAGCAGTGACTTCATTCCTGGAGCTGACTTCTCCTGCCGCCAAATGAAGGCAAACTGAAAAGGTGGAAATAATCATAAAAATGATGCTAGTCCATAAACAAGCTTACAGCCTCATTAGGATAGCAGTAGGCTCCAGTGGGTGATTTATGCTCGTTTTGCTGATGCTATGAGGAAATGCCATAGGGCGACTTTAGCCAATTGCTAATGGTTTCTGACAGCTTCTTAGCAACTAGTGCAAGCAACGTTGTGGCGTTTGCTAGTGACAGAAACCGAAAATGTCATATTATCTGCCCATGTGTCATGAAGTCCGTGTGGCAATTAACTAGCAGGCCAGTGACTGAGGGGCCAGAGGCTCCCGAAAATGGCCTTTGGCTATGCAGAGGCAGCGATGGGCGCAGAGGCACACTCTGCCTGCACATATGCAACATTCTAATGCAGAAATCCACTTCCTTGTGACTTCCCGGCTCTGATGAGACCGGGCCACTCAAATCCCTTTTTTCCCCCTCACTCAAGTGAAACTCTGGGCTTCTCTCTCTCTCTCTCTCTCTCTCTCTCTCTCTCTCTCTCTCTCTCTCTCTCGGCACTGGCTCTGGCCTTATGAGAGGACTCCAAAGCAGTTTGCTTTGATATGATTATCTGAATATCTCCTTAATTGGCAATACCTGGTTCTGTGCTTTTTGGATGCTGGATTCAAAGGTGCTAGCCATTTTTCTGCTCTCTCACAAATTAGTCTAAAAGGATTTAAGATCACTGAAGCAGACTCATTGCCTGTCAGATTGCTGAGAGCAGAGGAAGTCTGTGTAGAGACGAGACACTGTGTAAAAAACACCAGGCTTCTAACAAGCAGGGAGAGAATCTTGGCCACACTTTTCAGTTTCCGAGCTATCAAAACCATGCACTATATGTCAAACTGTCAAACCTTTCAGCGTGGGCCATTTGCCCTTTCAAATAATATTTAAGAATTGTTTTTACAAAATTTTATAGGCCATGGTCTAGTGAAAGAGGCCAACCAACAAAGAAAGGAATTTGTACTACAATTCGTCTACGGACAATTTCTTGTGAGACCTGGTCTGTCCCTGTGGAGCAAGGCAGGTGACCTGTGGCAGCTCCCAGGCTGTCAGAGAGCTCAGATTTCAAACACGCTCAACTCAAACATCCCGAGTCGCCTATTTAAGCATGCCCAGGCATTTAGACTGTGCTATCTCGTGCCTTTCAAGGCAGGATAAAGCGGCATTTACCGTATTCAGGCCATTCAATGGGTCAGACTGACCGTGTCAGCAGGGGCTCCTCTCCGGCAGGTCACAGCCCGGCTCCCATTTTTCTCTTCCTTCTAACTCCCTCTCTCCCCCCGGGACCGCCTTTCCCGAAAACCTATTCTGAGCCAGGCTAAAACAAAACCCGAACAGTGCACAGCATTTACATCACAACTGATAGGAACTTCCAGTGTCAGTGGGCCAGCAGGTATAAACAAAATGGGGAGTTCTTTCTGTCACAGAGGCAAAACTCCTAATTAGGGGTGGGAACTTTCAACTGCCAGGGCAAATGAAAGTGTGAGGTTGTGGACCTTCTTGTTTTGCTGGAAGTCAAGCTGGAAGCCATCCCAGCTTCAAGACAATTCATTTACAATTTTCTATTGAGATTCCAGTTGCCAGCCAGGTTCCCTCCTTAACTTTTGCTTTACTCATCTTCAAGTGTTTAGAGACAGAATGTTTATCCCAGAAATGGACGTCGACTCAGATCCAAGACCATTTATATTCGTATCTTTCAATAGGGA